AAAGGACGATGTTCTTTGCGCCTCATCGATATAGCTTTCATGCGACGTATGCATCGTTAGTATCTACATAATATATTGTTTGTTTACATAAGATTCGAACGCGAGCTGCATATCGACCACCAGTTAATGATAAACAAAATCTACAGGCAATATATGAATATACGAAGATATATTTGTCTCGCTCTACGCTAAAGTCAATGTAGTATATGAGTTCATGTTGAATAATTCATCGTGTTGTGTATTATAATATTCGCTAAATTCCATATATGGATACGATTTGCATATTCATTTGCATACTCGTATGTAGTTAGAGGCGATGTACAACTGTGACAGTAATTACAATCAACTGAAGCTTCTACGTACATTTGATTCCAATCAGATTATATTTGTAACGTACCTCGTAGTCATTTGTAGCTAGACATTTAATTACAAAGAATTGATATGAAATTGTTATTGTCTGGGGTTTATAACGGTCGAGTTCAAAATTACAGACCCTGCTACCCGTTTGATGAGAACAACTTTTTTGTATGAACATATGCAAGAGAGATTGGAACTCAAGTTACATCGTGTTTATTTATTTAGAGGGGGATAAAACATTCATCGTGTGGGAAGAGGTCGAAGTCAGTAAATAATTTTTACGTTAGCATAAAATCACAATTTTTTCTCAATCTCAGTCTGATAAACTGTGCTTTTAGAAAATGTCATTGTTATACTTTTATGCGTCGTTTACATTGATAACATCAAAAAATACAACAGATGATGCACGCAAATAGTCTTTTCGTTCACTGCAATTGACATGATAAATAGGAATACTTTCAACAGACACTGCTAGTGATTTATTTTATGCTATTACGAAAGGTTATCATTGTAACAATGTATATTTCAAGGCTTTCAATTTTAATTATTCAATACTTATAATGAATTAGGCTTTACGTAAATTCACAGCCGTTGTTTGGTTGGTTTCTATGGTAACATATGTAATTGTGCATGACGGCAGAGGCTAATAAACCATATATAACTGACATTTTCAGAAATTTATTATAACTGGAAAGTTTTATTACCGGTACTTCAATTAGAAAAAATAATCAATATTACATATATATGATTTGCTTTCAAATTTACTGAATAAATATTTTATATAATTTATTAATAAGTCTGTTTTGCAGTCAGGTATATAAGGTGGTTGTCGTAAACCAGAAATGTTTGTCTACTACTACAAACTACTAATACTAACGCTTCTGCCTATGTTCATTAGAAAACAATTACTAAAAAGTTTGTAAATATGTAAAATCCCACTTATATATTTGATTTCAAATATAGACCTAATGGCCATGTGACCTGAATACCCCAGCATATATATATATAATGTGCTCTAACAGTTTTGTAAATTTATCTAAGAAGTAGCAATCAATTCAACCACATGTGACCCGGGTCAATAATAATTACATAATCAACACTTCAAAACACATTTTACTTTTCTATACTGACACATGACATCTATAATCGCACTCTATGTCAATGTCTACGATATAAGTATTGGTGTATTCTCTGTAAAACTGTAGCCCAGATTTTCCCCAACCTTTTTATCAGTTGTCAAAACGAGCAGACATTTTTGGGGATTATCATTGCAAATAACGACAATGAAATAATAATCAAGTATTATTTTATTTAATAGCTGTAACCCTGAACCGCTTAGGCTTCGGTTATTGTATTTTCCAGGAGCAATATAGACGAATTCAAATTGTTTTAGTCATATGTCTAAAGCATTTAAGTGATTCGCACACTCGAGCATTAACTCAAATGGCAAAACTGTTTTTCAATCAGTTCGGTATATTCTTCTATCTGAATATAAGTATGTGTTTGGTTTGGGCGCTTATGATTTTCAGTTGACAACTTGTTGTCTCGCGTACAGTTAACGACATAATCGGACAAAAACCAATAGTTTAAATAAAATGTGTTTTTCAAATAATATTGATGTTCAATAACTCTTTCTGTTCGAGTGTAGAAATGTGTTCCTGTAAATGTGCTTCAGTCACAGTTACACAGTCATCTAAAAATGTCTTTATCTCGACACAACAATTACAATAACATTTACATTATTCGTAATAAGAAGCTGGCATTGAGTTAATGGTGTGTACACCACTGCATATTTCAACACGTTCGACCGTTTCCACATAATAGCACACACATTATACGAGTAGTGCTTTTGATTTAACGGTTCCTTAAAAGGTATTTAGCTGTTCACATGGCTTGTTAACACCCCCGGCACATTTCAACTAGTAGCTATGGCAACCGCGGAAGTCATAGAATTGAACAGAGTGGAAGTACTAGCCGGTTACAAAGTGAAAGAATCAACAGAGTGTATTCTGAATACCATACATGATATAGTCACATACACCAGTAGTCGTCCAAACTTTTACAAATATATCGTAGTCGTTAGCATACAGAAATCACGTTCATGCTCGGGGGATTTTGTTTGCTGATTGCATTGATGTCAGTACTGATTTTGTTTCATGTATCATTGATGGGAATGTCTCAAATTAACGATTCAATTATTTTGTTCTACCTCAGTGTTATATATTTCAAATTAAACTTGAATATTTAATGCATTGTGTTGTCACTGTTTCACAATAATAAAATAATATAGTTCTCATGTAATTATTGGTTTCTCATTGAGATTCACAAAAAAGTATAATAAAAATAATAAGTTAACCTACGTAAGGCGTAGATGCAGACTCGTGAGTGCAATGTATTGTTTTTCTATATTTGGACAGTGTTGGCTACACACAGATCGAAACACTAAGGTATAAATGATTGTTTTTGTTTCAACATAGACATTATCTACGTTTTGGTTCTTCAGTTGGCGATAGCGTTTCAAACTTAATCGCTCCAGGAGATTTTGTCCATTGGATTTGATGTCTACTAGGTGATGTGTTTTCCAACAAAAAAAAACGTACAGATTGTGTTAAAATATGTTTTGTTCCCAGATATAGTGATACCACAAGTGTGTCATATTTGGGTATAGTTAAGTACGTGACTAGCACGCGGCACATTGCTTCAAGAGAACAAAACACAAGCAACAATCCTAGAGGCCGCTTAAACTAGACATCAACATAGTGTGAAATTTCACAAGAGATGAAGGGGAAACTCTATGAGCAATGAAGGTTCGAAATTCCGCCAAGTCAAAAGAAGACAGGTTATCTACCTTTACAATATTTATATTGCAACTATAACTGTAGGTACAAGTCAAAAGAAGACAGGTTATCTACCATTACAGTATTTATATTGCAACTATAACTGTAGGTACAAGTCAAAAGAAGACAGGTTAGCTACCTTTACAGTATTTATATTGCAACTATAACTGTATGTACAAGTCAAAAGAAGATAGGTTATCTACCATTACAGTATTTATATTGCAACTATAACTGTAGGTACAAGTCAAAAGAAGACAGGTTATCCACCTTTACAATATTTGCAACTATAACTGTAGGTACAAGTCAAAAGAAGACAGGTTATCCACCTTTACAATATTTGCAACTATAACTGTAGGTACAAGTCAAAAGAAGACAGGTTATCTACCTTTACAATATTTGCAACTGTAACTGTATGTACAAGTCAAAAGAAGACAGGTTATCTACCTTTACAATATTTACAACTATAACTGTAGGTACAAGTCAAAAGAAGACAGGTTATCTACCTTTACAATATTTGCAACTATAATTGTAAAACTTCTAATAATATATATAAATTGTAGTAGGTAATTATAGTCTTTCGTAATTATTCATTATAACCTGACTCGTCAGTCAGTGAGTGGACAGGTTTCTATCCTCACAGTACTTGTCTGTGTATGTTATCAATTCATGTTAGAATCCCAAAAATTAAACCGACATGTAATGACGTCACCTAGGACAAGCCATTCAATAAATGATGTGAATCAGTAATTATTGGAGGGTGATGGTTAGGTATCAACGCATAGCAGCAAATCCCTCATTAAACCATCACAATCTCAGCACACACTGTGTGCACCAGTTCTACTCATAAATAGGACGCTTGTTGCGCGACTGCTTCACTGCCTTTAGATTTATGTTGCTGTGTTTGAAATTATAAAATATTAACCGTCTAAATCACCGTATACCGGTTATTTTCAATTACTGGAACTACATTTCTAATTGCTAGTGATTCAATTTATTCATGGCCTGAATCAGTTCCTCAAAATGTAGAACATATTTATGCGATGAATGTGAATGCGAAGTATGTGATTGTCATATTGCAATTGATCCAGCATTCAATAAGCTTACGCATGCGTAGACAAAGAGCACGCGGTACTCAATCTTATTGCACACTTATACTGATTTACCACACGTACCATGCAGTTACTCGACATACAGCCATGTAGTATTTTTCCATATCACACCTCCTGAGCGGCAAATCTGATCGACGCGCAGGAAAACAGAAAATGAGTTGTTTCAATTGTTGCATTTTCAGACACATATTCTGCATGTGTATTATTTAGATGAAAACGCAGCCTCTTTAATTTATCACAATTATCAAGTACCCCATCGTTTCATTTAGGATTGACAGAGATGGTGTGAATTATTTCTTAATTTCTATATATTCAGTTGATATGTTCAGTTGAATACTGAAAATCTGTTTCTTTTAATTATCAACCGTGAATGTACAATTATAGACAACACGGTAAAAACAGCATTGACGATAATTCAGCTGCTGGCGTCAAAATGCGTCAGAACAAAACACATACAGCACTACACACAACACTCGCATATATATTGATTTATATCATACTAGTATCAATACGCGCTAAGTGAAAGTCACCATAAAATATGCATTCTTACTTATTTAGGTGTCGTTGTCATTGCTGATGTTTGCCTGTAGTCTTAATGTATCGTAATTTTGTACGAAATACGTTATGTGTTCAATATTTCTATGATTATGCTGGATGTGATACTTCTAAATATATTTCTTTTGTTTGACTGTTCCAGGGCCAACGTGCAAATTCCGATGCAGTCCGTATGACGATACTATCATCGACGGATTTTCAGTATGTGATGGGTCCGTGGACTGTCCTAACGGAATCGACGAAAACGCTGATCTATGTAGTAAACGTATGTATTATTATCAACAACACACAGATAGTACATGGTAGGCACGCGTGTAGCCGCAGGAGACATAGGCCATTTTTTCCGCGGCGGATGCACATCTCAAAGCGAGATTGGCCGGAAATGGGGTACAGGCAAGACGTCTGCTTTTGTCATGGCGGCAAATACAAACTTGTTGGTATTTGGTAAAAAGTGGATTTATTTATGTCACGTCGATTGGTACACCCACAAACACGACATTACGTCGTGTGTATGTTCTCATTGCACTCCAAATCCGGCATACGCCAGATTTTTGACTTCCGGGAAATTGGTCTATTGCAAGTACTCCGCTTCAATCCTCTACTAGGTGACATTGTTATTTAGGATCACATGACAAAAATACGCGTTTTTCTAACTCGTGCTTTACTACTGACATTTAATTCAGTGATAATGTAGCATGCTTGGTTTACCATTTAATTAATTATCAAGGACAGCAGAATCAACTATATCACGTTCAATATGACCATACCCGTCTTATATTCCATTACAAACTGTTGACCTAGATAATACACCCTGCTGTTAGAATTGCTAGTGCCAGTGGCATATGGCAGTTATAAATAAAACATCTAACCATCTAACAGACACTAATTAAATTTACATGTAGATGATATTTGAACTGTTAAAAACATACTGAGTCCGACCTTATCTGAACTTAATATTCTCTTAGTGGGAAGTATTAAGTCGTGTGAGGTTGACAACAAAAGAAGGACACCCTTGATTGTTTTTTATTCAATCATAAATAATTTAATTCTACACGCATTACACATTACACTGATGATTTAGAATTACAAAATATAACCCATATTATCGTTATACTTTTTAAAAATTTTAATGGTTAGTCAATACCCCCTGGAGCCTGGGAAAAAGGTGTCTAATTAAACACATGATTAGACACGTTTTTAAATAGACTTATTTATCAAGAGTTGTCACTCCATGACGGAGTGACGTTCTTGCCTCTGCCCGGGAGATGAATTATCTATTGTACATATGATATAGTCCACTCTATGAGGACGGTGAAAGCTCGTCTACTCATTTTTGTTTTCCATATACGTTATCTACGTGAAATAATCAGTGCCATAAATGTCAGGCGAAAATTACCGATAATGTATTGATTGATTAATTGATTGATTGATAATTGATAAAATATACGTGATGGATCCATTTACGTAGCGAAATTGTAGCAAAATATAAACTGTGCATCCCAATACGCATTTAATAATTTAATGGCCATGTTTTTGTAACATCCAATAGCGATAACAAATATAATGCAATTCATTAAACTATGTTGGATAACTTATGTCTGATAAATCGACTGTTTACTGACGATTGTGCGCCTGTGGTGTTTACCATTCAAATATCCACACACGCAGAATCAGTGCATGCCGGAAAGTAGTTATTTTTAATTCGAATATTGAAAAACAAACAAACACACGCACGCACTCGTGATGATCTAATGCTCAATGGAAGTGGTATGGTTACAATGTAAATATTGTTTATATTCAAGTTATTGTGAATAGCGTTGACATATCGATTACTTGACGTGGAATCGCTTAGTACATATAGAGTTCATCTACGGTTATAATGAAGTGCCGGAGTTGTGGCTGTCAGTATTTCGGAGTCTTATGTCTGTTGATATCGCCAATTATGCATTAACGAATCGTTCCATTATGTTAGTGTCAGCGCACACACTGTGAATACAGAGTGACTTTGACCATATGAAGATCAGGTCAAATAACCAATTTGTTCCTCATCATAGCGTGGTTTAATATTTTAATTACATTCTCCATCACTGTTGTAGTGGTTGAAGTGGTATTTTACCCCATCTGCAGCCAACTGATTTGCCAGGCACCGCCGTCAATATCGCAATTGAGATATGGCATTGAAAACACAAGACGTGAACTGTCTTGAATAATTTGAGCATAATATGAAAACACTGTGATGAAGAAAAAAACACACAAACAAAAACCGATGATACTAAAAATACAGAATACCCACCAGCAAAATCAAATTTTCAAATCCACAGCTAGATCTATGCAACGACTAATCCATCATACGAATTAAATAATGATTATGTGCGCCATGTAGTTTAAACCCTTACTGTACATAAATGACGAATACATTGTAACTACTCGTATACAATGATATGAAAATATGAACACAAGTCACGCGTAAGTGTGGTGTACATATTTAGATGTTATTCGTATATTATTGGTATACTTGCTACATTTCTTGACTCCCGTGGACTTAGTTTAAATTATGATAAACGAACTGAGACTTATTACCATAAAAACGTTTTTATAAAAATGCATTTTCGTGACTTCCTCTCAACATATCTTGATTGACTTTACCGTGCAACTAACCCCTGAGATGTGTAACATCAATCACGAAGATGGAGTATATGTAGAGGGCGCTGTTATCGAATAGCAACTGTAAGAGGCTGTTTTGATTCGGTTTGTCCCACACTAGAATAATTTTATTTTCTCTCATTGCACCAGTCGCAACATTTCATCACATCCTATAAGTATTTCAAATTCGTCAACGCACGATATAGTATGTGTCAATGTATGCATCATACTCATAAACAGACAAACACAATTGTTCTGGTCCTACGTCGCATTTTCCCAGGCATTGTTGTCGGGTATTACTATTTGTTCGTGTTATTGACGTCTAATAGTCTGTTCAGTTCTAAGTTACAATCAGTTAGTGTACACGTGATAGTATAATTAATGAAACGAATTTATCGATATTTACTCTGTATACAGTAAAAACACTGAATGCGCTCCTTGTTGTACATACACTTCCGGTTATCGATGTATCATGCGTGTGAAAAAAAGACATTTAACCCATTTATTGATAGTCAGTTTGTTTGACGTATGAGTAGACGCGCTCGCCTGAATCACACGAAGCCATTCATGCAATTGATCTAAGTCAATTTGCCTTGTTGCTGAATGAAGTGTCGATAATTCAATACCGTGTGTATATTGTCTTCCATAACCACATGTAGACATAAGTGTACTAGCATTCACCGGTTTCTAATGTTGTGTGGTCGGTAACGGAGGGAGGGGGTAATTCCATCTTTGAACAATTCATATGTGTCTAGGTATGTTAATTTATTTGCTCACAGTAAACGTCAGGGTACAAAACAAAATCAGGCATACTTATCCAGTTTCATAGACGCTACATTCCTAGCCCATTATTCGCATAAGTGTAATCGCATTTCACACCTCATATCGCTGTCGAATACAGAGCATATATCGTATATATATGTACTCGCCAAGCTCGTGCAACAAATACAAATGTTGGGTATTATATGTATACGATACATAGATGATATGCGACGTTATATTATATTCTTCATATGAGTCTCAATAGAATAATATAATTTTGATTTTTTCCGATTCCTTGATGTGGAATACCTACAAAATATATTAGGGTATTGTATTAAGCTTATCTATTGAACATATATCCACTTGCAATTCAAGATAGAAGAATCGCTATGCAAACGAATTGACAGATGTTGGCAATTTCGTGCCACGAGATGGTAATACACATGATGTATTGGGTTCAGCATTGAAATATACGCGCAGTCAAAATTACTTTTCAATTTCATATAACTCCACTATAATTTAGCATATTTTACATTTCATAACACATAAATACACAAATATATGCCAGACACAGTACACAGTTTTATAAATATTAGTACTCAATAGTGCACAATGCAACTTAAACAAAATTTAATAATATTAATAAGAAATACACATAGAAGTAATATGTATGGCATTTTAATGGTGGCGTACGTGGTCATTAGAAGGAAGCCACTTAATCTTTAAAAATGTCAACTTTATTTCCTATGTGGTCAGTGAAGTCCCTTTACTTACAAGCACCATGCTTTTAAGAACAAACAAGAGGCTTATACCTGGCATTCAGTCTAAGTACTTCAGTCTCTAAAATGACGTATATTGCATATAGTTTATGCATATAGTTTATGCATTGAAGACGTATGCACAATCAGATAACGTAATACCTGCATACGATGTCTGCATGATGAACCGAATATTTACAATGACACCGTGGCTCATATGACGGAACAACCACTAAGCTACAATTCGAAAGAAACGCGTAGGTTTATTAACACATTTGTTTTCATTGATGTTCAGTTAGTTTTGTTTTTCTTTTCCATGCATTTTATTTATATTTCCAGAAGCATTCAAATGTTTAAAATATGCCAGAGGTAATTTTTGCGATGCATACCTTATTCATTCATTCATTTATTTATTCGTCCATACATGAATGCACACTGTGCACAAAACGACATTAGCTAATTGTTTAAACTGTCGCCTGAAGTGGTTAGACGACGTCCATTTAAACCACTAAAATATTTGCGTGAGTATTGGGGCGTGATAAAATAGGTCGCACTACGCACACCTCGGTGCATGCTGATAAAACCGTCGATATTATGAGTATTTGCTTTACAAACGTGTTCACACACCTACTTGAAAATATGATTTAACATCTATCTGCTCACCATCAGACATAATGGGCATTGCGTCATGCTCTAATTGCGGTCAGATTAGGAATGTCAAACTTAATAAAAAAATCACCATGCACATATTACACTTTGTCAATTTATCGAACTCGGTATATTTATGAATAGCTAGTGTAATTTACTCACATCAAATTCATATATTTATAATTAAAAGACAAAATGTTGCCATGACAGCACCGTGCGATGATATCCCATGTGTCTGGACTGTTATGGCTCTTGTAAAATCTTACATTAAATTGCAACAACTTGAGTACAGCTACGTGCTAGTATTCGAGTCAGCATGTGACCATTCAACCGTGTCTATCAATATCACTTCAATTTGAGTGGTGATATTTCACACACACACACCCTCGTGCTACTCACAAAATGAAAGCTATTTCAAGCAATTTGTATTTACTACATTTCATTGTGGATTATTATTATAAGTTGTTACAGCGCTAATACACATCCCGTGTTAATTAGCGTAGATTCAACGGGTGACCTGGTAACAACCTGACACAAAAACACGCACAGAAATGCTTCCTGAATTTGATGTGATTTTCGACACCATTGTCTATAATATTTGTTCACAGTGTTTCCGAAATAACAGTGACTAGTACGCATGTCCGCTAGTTGGTTTGATAATATAATAACAATTAATGTACATCCGTATTGGATTTGTCATTTTTTTCCATCGAGCTAATTCTATAAAGTGTGCTGAAAATCCGACATTTTTAATTTTCTATAAGTCGTAATCCAATTTGGTCTTCAAAATGCTGAATCAAACAACAACGATACTAAAAGTACTGCTAAAATAAGAGCCTTGTTCATTTCCCCATATCAGAAGACATATTTCGGCGATCAATCATATGTACAACAATATCACAACTACTTATTGTTTTCATTACAGATACCCAGATCAATGGACCTTTTTCACCTCTCAGCATGGTTGATGGCATTGTCACTATAGTTTGTGGATTTATACTAGTTATTCTTATCTCAATATGTCTATACTGTTGTTGCTGTCCACCGCCGCCCACATACGTGACAAAAGGTCACTACTCATCGAACGTTAATATCAATTTTCACGATGGTGTCACATCGACCAACTTAGAAGGACGAACATCGCATAATGATACAAGGGATAATAATGAAGTGCGTATTTCCAGTCTTTAGTTTGTGAACCCGAAATGCCTAGAAGTCCTACGCTATCACTTTGGGAAAAAAATGAACCACCGCTGGTGGCGTCTTGATATAGTAATCTGCGACGCGTTTAACGAGATTTATTCATGTCATGTACTTGGAGATTTACAAAATGTTGTCAACGCACGTAGAGAACCGATATTTTGACCGGAGTATTGTCACTTTCTCCGGGACAAACTATAATTGTGGTGTCAATTAAGATGCCCCAGTCGTCGCACCGCGTCGTGTTCGATGTGGATTCAATGCGACGTTTACAACGTATGAAAAATACATTGGTTATTCAGACGAAATTGTAACTACTAACGGACCCATTTTTACTCGGTACCTTAAGTATTCGAACACGTAAATGACAGTACACAAGGCTGAAGAAGTACGTTGAAGTGGACCAGGTTAAGGATATATACTAGCATGTGTAATTTTACAGTGATAATTAATTTAGCTTTTATATAAATATTATGAGTCATATATCATTTTAGTAATGGGAAATGCTAATTAATGTGAATGTTAATAGCCAGATTCAATAGAAAAAAGTCAATTTAACATTAAGTCGTTGTATACAAACGCAATACACGTCATTATTACTCAGTCTATTTAGGTGTTAAGACACGTAGCGCATGTCCAATAATGATGTTTTATTAGTGTTTTTATGTTAGTACTATAACATAGACCCTTTTCATCAGTCTAGCGCCCTCAAACAAACACAGTGGATTTATCTTTCATCTTAGCACTGGGTCAAAATAAAAATAAACTCAAAAATTCACAGCGTTCCTTGCCTTTAAAACAATACTTCCTGGATAGCTGTCGTGTCTGTCTTTGCAGACAGTGGAGTTTCTACACCTACCGGCCTCTCTTTCAGGTCTTCTGAAACAGGAAGTGTTTGAGGGCGCTCGACTTATAAAAGGGGTCTATGGAGTTATCATTGTCCACGTACAGGGTAATAATTATTTTTTTATTCAATTTACACTCTTGGCGATTAACATTTTGACGTGTGGTTTTACGAAAAAGTTATTGGCATTTGATAAATTCAAGACATACATACTATAATGAGGTTACAGATTAAATAATACATTACGTATAGGAATTTTAACAATTCAATGGACTCGATGACATATACTACATACGCCTAGTTGTCATGAGCAACTGGCAGTAATACTTATAGATATTTGCAGTAGATATTTGTAGTGCGTATGGAGGAAATGACAATTTCAACACAATACTTATTGCTAACCAGCTATTGGCTGATAAAAGACGCATGTGGGACTATAGAGGGCGTACATAAAGATGTATTTACTGATATAAAGAGGAGATAACGTTGCTAAGTATATCGTCCTCATGGCTAACTTCAAAGTTTATAAATGACTAATTATGTATAGGGTAGGCTGGTTTGATTTTGAGTGCATTGTGTTTTTAAGAGTGTTGCTAACATTATGCGAGCTGTGAACCGCTGTGCCTTTCCAGTTCTCGTTTATCTTTGTGGTATATATTTAAGCATTGCTGTGCTATTCCTTGATTGGGTGAAGTGTATATTCTGATTTAATATCAGCAGTTATTTGATTTTTGTGATTTTCACACCATGGATAAATATAGGACAAATTATGTGCCCATGAAAGGTGGCTTAGTTATATGTGTATGTTTGATCTTTATCTAGTTACATCTCTAGGAACGGGAACATAATAATAAATGCTCTATGTAAGTATAAATACCACCGAAAGTTATAGAACGTTAAATCAAATTTCCCCAGAGTTACGCTCTTTATCGTTAAAGCGCGTGTGTCAGGATGAAAGTAGCCTGCTTGTTATCATTACGAGGTTGTTGCTAGAGGGCGTAACACAATATATAATCAAATTAGAGACAATTGTATACAATTTTCATTTGACCACAAAAGAGATAACTATAACGTAGTAAATTGTATTATTCAATAAAAATAAATGTTCCTACATTGGCATCGTCATTTCTTCTATTCTTAATTAATTTATTCAAGTTCTTACACGAATTCATTAATAGTGATATTTAGTTACTATTTTCTGAAGTGTACGTACATACGTATTTAAATAAATAATAAATAAAGTGAAGTGTAATATTGTTCTTGATTTTATACAATTCATAGCTGATATCTGAGTGACTATGGGACGCCAATGATGTCTTATATATTTGTGTATTACTAACACAACCCAGTATATGGCTATTAATATCGTTAAATTATATATCAACTTCATTATATGGTTGTGTAGTATCATATTATATGCAAACACCATTGGTGTTAATATCATTATATGGTGACAGTGCCATATTATATCATATTGTGACGTTAAATGCGGGGGGCTTTTATGGGGCTACACCGTAATCAGGATCGGGGAGGTTGTCTTTAATACCGGTCTAATAGTCATTGTCTTTGGTAGCGTGCTTATCTTATAAGTCTCCTCCCTCTCAGCTCGTCCGCTGTCACAGGGTGGGGATCGTTTTGTGAATGTATATCACCACAACTGAGACTGTGCAGAGAAAGAAATATACCAGTAACGATTATCACAAATCAACACAACACAATATATACGGTTTCCTGTACTTTAATAAACAAATAACAGCAGGGGTGGGGGTATACAGTACACAAATAAAATTAAAAAGACTTGATCAATGCTGCAGGGAACACTCCACTCTCCGGTGAACAGCAATGTACCTGGTTGCGTTCCTTCCTATCTGGCACACTGTCACAGCAGCTGCACTACAATTTAAACTCGTGCTCTGTGTCCAGGGAGTATCGGCAACTGCACTGCTATCTGTTGCTACTGGTAGCATTGGTACAACGGGAGTAGTTCAGGCAGTGAGCTTCAGTGGTTCCTGTTGATCAGCAGGGATGACTGCACATCACGTCTGCATATGTACCACAGTATCGGGTACAGCTCACTGGAGTCAGGAATCAGCGTCTCAGGATGTTACGGGATCAAGTCAGGTTACCTTCCTGACTAAAGATTTTCCCTTATGTCTCAACTTAAATACTCTAGCTAATTTATGGCCATGCAAATAATAAAATGTATACTAGTATAACGAAATGATTGGTTATCTCGAAATCGCCAAATCAGTGTACAAAGGATGCCAATTTTGGTAGTGGAATAAACCACTCTTAATCCAAGTTCTACCAATTTAAAGTAGGAGACTTGGGTCAATGATGTCATATTTATTTTATTGCCAACAAGGCTGGTCTCAGCACATTCCAAAGTATTTCATAATCACCACACCACTATCTGGGACATACCATTATACCAAAAGGGAAACAGGACGTATGTATATCAAATTTTGCTGACACCCCAATCCAGCTACTGTATCAACATCTAAAAATAAACATATGCACTGGGTTGTCGCAAAGTATCCAAACATGTGTGCTTTCCACCCACACATCCAGGGTTCTGTTCCCCTTTTTTCAAGTACTTTCCAGTTACAATTTACGTCACAATATGCTTACATCATATTATATGCGGAATTTGTATATAAAAACAACTTAAGTCGAAGGTGGCGCAGTTTTTATTAATTCCGCTATCTGGCGAAAGTAGTAGATTACTGTTATATACGTCCGCCAGTTGACTTTATCATATCAATTATTTACTAATTTGTATTATTTATCTAGAATTATATGTTTATATTAAACTACTGATCCATGCACAAATGTGTATGGATTACACATTAAACCACTAAAATCTGAAGCTTGAATTGACACTCATTAATGGAGTGTACATATTACTGACTGACTGACACATACAAGTTCATCTTTGTTAGCAAACTTGGCTCCTAGATAAACTAAATATTGCCACGTGAACTGATCTTTCCCCATGTACCATATCTCTTTTTACATGGCTTAGCATAGCTTCAACTTTGCTCTGACTGAATGCATATATTTTAGATATGGATATCTGCATTATGACATCTAATTACCTGCAAACAGTACAGCAAAGCCCTTAAAATGATGTATTATAAACTATTCTGAGACTTCTACTTCTCAGCAAAAGGGAAAAAAACGTCAGCATAAATTTCTTTTTATATTCGTATTTTCAAGTTTCCTTTTCAAGACTCCCCCACCATGCAGCTTCTCTTCTATCATGTTGCCACCTACTTCTTGTCTGCTCAAAATCTTCTTGCATGGTCTGTGCTGACTTTGGTGTATCTGGGTATCCTGTGTGCCCAATGGTAGTAGGGCAGAAAACATCCCTTGCATAGATTGATGCTACACTCCTGACATCTGAACACAGTAAATACAGGGCAACCTCCCCTTGTTCTGCTTTCTAACTGAATGCCTCATCTGCACGATATACCATGAAAGCTGATTATATATATGATATCACATTCCATGATATTGTTCTAACAAACGCTTTTCGTACATTTGCTTAAATGTGTGGAAAGATTTACAATTTTTCAGATTATTATCAATACTGTTCCAAATGTTGACGCCAGCACAAGATAAACACATAGCTTTTACCCTAGCCCTTCTGTAAATAGTACCAACATTCTGACATTGTCTTGTATTGTACTCATGGATATTACATATTTTAACAAAATACTGTTGAACACTCAAAGGTAATTGATTTGTATTTGCTTTATAAAGAACTATTACTGTTCTTAATTTAATAATGTCATATATATTTAAGGTTTTAAACTTATAAAAATAGGTTTTGTATGACTACTATACTCTGCTTTTGTCACCACTCTTATAGCTGTTTTTTGAAACAAATATAAGCTTTTCAATGTTGATTTGTACGTGTTGCCCCACACTTCACAGCAATATGTGATATATGGGATTATTAATGATTGATATAAAGTATATAAAACAGAGCTATCAAGCAAGTATTTCATTTTATACAGTATACACATATTTTAGTCTGTATTATTCTAGCATGTTCCTTCCATCCTAGTTTACAATCAATTATCACCCCAAGAAATTTGGTTGAATAAACACGCTGAATTACTCTGTTATTGATTTTTAAAGA